CTCATGGATTTCGTGAAGCGGAAGGTAAACCAACGGTCGGTTCAAGTTGTATTTGTTTATCCAGACGGGAGATGACAAGTGCCTGGATTAGGACCTGTGCCACTTCCTGTGTAAGGCAGGGTCGTACTCTGCGAATGTTGTAGAGCATGAACCTACAGGATCGGGTCACCGCCTTGATGTTAGCGGAGAACGGCAGGGTGTTTTCCGGGGTCACACCAAGGCTCTTTGCACTCTGGGAGGAGGACACAACGGAGTTGTCAACCGTGATGGCGAGATCATGGAACGGGCAGTCCTTCCCCGGGAGGAAGAGCAGCTCCGTCTTGCCGAGGTTCAGCTTGAGGTGGTGATCCATCATCCACACTGATATGTCTGCCAGACATGCAGAGATGCGATTCGCCACCTGGTTATCAGAAGGGGGAAAGGAGAAGATGAATTGTGTCATCTGTGTAGCAATGATAGGAGAGGCCATGTGAGGATATGACAGAGCCAAGTGACTTGGTGTATAGCGAGAATAGGAGAGGGCCTAGAACTGAGCCCTGGGGGACACCAGTGGTGAGAGCACATGGTGCGGAGACAGATTCTCGCCACGCCACCTGGTAGGAGCAACCTGTCAGGTAGGACATAATCCAAGAGTGAGCCGCGCCGGAGATGCCCAACTCAGAGAGGGTGGAGAGGAGGATCTGATGGTTCACAGTATCAAAGGCAGCAGATAGGTCTAGAAGGACGAGAGCAGAGGAGAGAGAGTTAGCTTTAGCAGTGCGGAGAGCCTCCGTGACACAGAGAAGAGCAGTCTCAGTTGAATGACCAGTCTTGAAACCTGACTGGTTTGGATCAAGAAGGTCATTCTGAGAGAGATAGCAAGAGAGTTGGCTAAAGAATTTTGGAGAGAAAAGAAAGAAGGGATACTGGTCTGTAGTTGTTGACATCGGAGGGATCGGGGGTAGGTTTTTTGAAGAGGGGTGCAACTCTCGCTCTCTTGAAGACGGAAGGGACATAGCCAGCAGTCAAGGATGAGTTGATGTGTGAGGTGAGGTAAGGGAGAAGGTCTCCGGAAATGGTCTGGAGAAGAGAGGAGGGGATAGGGTCAAGCGGGCAGGTTGTTGGGTGGTCGGCCGTCACAAGTCGCAATATTTCATCTGGAGAGAGAGGGGAGAAAGAAGTCAAAGCATAGGGTAGGGCAGTGTGAGCAGGACCAGCGGTGTCATTTGACTTAATAAATGAGGACGGATTTCATCAACCTTCTTTTCAAAATGGTTGACGAAGTCATCCACAGAGAGGGAGGAGGAGGAGGATTCAGCAGGGAGGAGAAGGTGGCAAAGAGCTTCCTAGGGTTAGAGGCAGAGGCTTGAAATTTAGAGTGGTAGAAAGTGGCTTTAGCAGCAGAAACAGAGGAAGAAAATGTAGAGAGGAGGGAGTGAAAAGATGACAGGTCCGCAGGGAGTCTAGTTTTCCTCCATTTCCGCTCGGCTGCCCGGAGCCCTGTTCTGTGAGCTCGCAATGAGTCGTCAAGCTACGGAGCAGGAGGGGGGGACCGAGCCGGCCGGGAGGATAGGGGACATAGAGAGTCAAAAGATGCAGAAAGGGAGGAGAGGAGGCAGAATCAGGAGATCAGAGGGAGAAGGATTTAGCAGAGGGAAGAGATGATAGGATGGAAGAGGAGAGAGTAGCGGGAGATGCTAAACCTGTTTGTCAATTACCAGGAGACCGGCAGTATTTTGCCCTACTGGTATCCCTTACCAGGAGACCGGCAGTATTTCCCCTACTGGTATCCCTTACCAGGAGATGGCAGTATTTTGCCCTACTGGTATCCCTTACCAGGAGACCGGCAGTATTTTGCCCTACTGGTATCCCTTACCAGGAGACCGGCAGTATTTTGCCCTACTGGTATCCCTTTTACATTTTTTTACATTTTACGTCATTTAGCAGACGCTCTTATCCAGAGCGACTTACAGTTAGTGAATACATATATATATATTTTTATACTGCCCCCCCGTGGGAAACGAACCCACAACCCTGGCGTTGCAAACGCCATGCTCTATCAACTGAGCTACATCCCTGCCTGCCATTCCCTCCCCTACCCTGGGCCAATTGTGCGCCGCCCATGAGTCTCCCGGTCGCGGCCAGCTGCGACAGAGCCTGGATTCGAACCAGGATCTCTAGTGGCACAGTTAGCACTGCGATGCAGTGCCTTAGACCACTGCGCCACTCAGGAGTACACATCCCTTACCAGGAGACCGGCAGTATTTGTATATAGCGAAGTTATCATTATCTGTTATTACTTGTATCATTGTGTTTTACTCTGCATTGTGGGTAAGGGCCCATAAGGAAGCATTTCACTGTTAGTCTACACCCGCAGTTTACCAAGCATGTGACAAATAACATTTCATTTGATACCATGTTTGCTAACATGTAAAAAATGTTTTGTTATGGCCATCCATGTCGACGGGGCCGCAGTGGAAAGGATCAAAAGCTTCAAGTTCCTCAGCGTGCACATCACTGACAACCTGAAATGGTCCCTTCACACAGACGGCGTGGTGAAGAAGGCACGGGCCTTCAGATCCAGGAAGCTGAAGAAATTTGGCCCCTAAGCCCCTCACAAACTTCTTCAGATGCACCATTGAGAGCATCCTGTCGGGCTGTATCACCGCCTGGTACGGCAACTGCATCGTCCGTAACCGCAGGGTTCTCCTTGACGGTGGTGCGTTCTGCCCAACTCATCACCGGGGGGCACACTGCCTGCCCTTCAGGACATCTACAGCACCCAGTGTCACAGGAAGGCCAAGAAGATCATCAAGGACCTCAGCCACCCGAGCCACGGCCTGTTCACCCCGCTACCATCTAGGAGGTGACAGTACAGGTGCATCAAAGCTGGGACCAAGAGACTGGAAAAACAGCTTCTATCTCCAGGCCATCAGACTGTTAAATAGTCACCACTAGCCGGCTACCACCCGGTACTCAACCCTGCACCTTAGAGGCTGCTGCCCTGTGGACATAGTCATAGAACACTGGTCACTTTAATAATAATAAGCGGTGTGTGACGAAGCCGTGGTTTGGCGGGGTCGTGTTTCGGAGGACGCATGGCTCTCGACCTTCGCCTCTCCCGATTCAGTAGGGGAGTTGCAACGTTGAGACAGCTGGATATCACGAAATTGGGGTAAAAGTAATTTTTAAAAATAAACTCAGCAGCGTTGCTGTTCTTGACACACGCAAACCGGTGCATAATATTTTGTCTTGCCCATTTACCCTCTGAATGGCTCACATACACAATCTACAGTGGGGAGAACAAGTATTTGATACACTGCCGATTTTGCAGGTTTTCCTATTTACAAAGCACGTAGAGGTCTGTAATTTTTATCATAGGTACACGTCAACTGTGAGAGACGGAATCTAAAACAAAAATCCAGAAAATCACATTGTATGATTTTTAAGTAATTAATTTGCATTTTATTGCATGACATAAGTATTTGATACATCAGAACTTAACTTAAAGCAGAACTTAATATTTGGTACAGAAACCTTTGTTTGCAATTACAGAGATCATACGTTTCCTGTAGGTCTTGACCAGGTTTGCACACACTGCAGCAGGGATTTTGGCCCACTCCTCCATACAGACCTTCTCCAGATCCTTCAGGTTTCGGGGCTGTCGCTGGGCAATACGGACTTTCAGCTCCCTCCAAAGATGTTCTATTGGGTTCAGGTCTGGAGACTGGCTAGGCCACTCCAGGACCTTGAGATGCTTCTTACGGAGCCACTCCTTAGTTGCCCTGGCTGTGTGTTTCGGGTCGTTGTCATACTGGAAGACCCAGCCACGACCCATCTTCAATGCTCTTACTGAGGGAAGGAGGTTGTTGGCCAAGATCTCGCGATACATGGCCCCATCCATCCTCCCCTCAATACGGTGCAGTCGTCCTGTCCCCTTTGCAGAAAAGCATCCCCAAAGAATGATGTTTCCACCTCCATGCTTCACGGTTGGGATGGTGTTCTTGGGGTTGTATTTACATTTACATTTTTAGTCATTTAGCAGACGCTCTTATCCAGAGCGACTTACAGTTAGTGAATGCATACATTATTTTTTTTCTATTTTTCTATTCTTACCCCCTGTGGGAATCGAACCCACAACCCTGGCGTTGCAAACGCCATGCTCTATCAACTGAGCTACATCCCTGCCGGCCATTCCCTCCCTTACCCTGGACGACGCTGGGCCAATTGCACGACGCCCCATGGGTCTCCCGGTCGCGGCCGGCTACGACAGAGCCTGGATTCGAACCAGGATCTCTAGTGGCACAGCTAGCACTGCGATGCAGTGCCTTAGACCACTGCGCCACTCGGGAGACACTCATCCTTCTTCTTCCTCCAAACACGGCGAGTGGAGTTTAGACCAAAAAGCTCTATTTTTGTCTCATCAGACCACATGACCTTCTCCCATTCCTCCTCTGGATCATCCAGATGGTCATTGGCAAACTTCAGACGGGCCTGGACATGCGCTGGCTTGAGCAGGGGGACCTTGCGTGCGCTGCAGGATTTTAATCCATGATGGCGTAGTGTGTTACTAATGGTTTTCTTTGAGACTGTGGTCCCAGCTCTCTTCAGGTCATTGACCAGGTCCTGCCGTGTAGTTCTGGGCTGATCCCGCACCTTCCTCATGATCATTGATGCCCCAAATGTAGGATTAATCATTAATAAATGTTGAGCAAACGGTTTGTAAATGTCTTATAAATGGTTTATTGTGGACCCTTTTCAAATAAAGAGTTACCCCAGGAGGTAGCTGGGCCCAGCACAGGCAGTGTGGACCTGGTCTTCTGGTTCCAGTGATCTCAGCTGCTGCAGCAGTCAAGTGTAGTGGACATTTACGTCATTTAGCAGACGTTCTTATCCAGAGCGACTTACAGTTAGTGAGTGCATACATTTTATTTTTTATACTGGCCCCCCGTGGGAATCGAACCCACAACCCTGACGCCATGCTCTACCAACTGAGCTACACCCCTGCCGGCCATTCCCTCCCCTATCCTGGACGACGCTGGGCAAATTGTGCACCGCCCCATGGGTCTCCCAGTCGCGGCCGGCTGCGACAGAGCCTGGATTTGAACCAGGATCTCTAGTGTCACAGCTAGCACTGCGATGCAGTGCCTTAAACCACTGCGCCACTCGGGAGACGTAGGGAGAAAACTGAGAGAGAGACAAACTGACACATGTCCTGCCAGTGGATTTGATATGATGGCTCTATATCAAATCAATCAAATCAAATCAAATTTTATTGGCCACATGCGCCGAATACAATAGGTGCAGACATTACAGTGAAATGCTTACTTACAGGCCTTAACCAACAGTGCATTTATTTTTAACAAAAAAAGTAAAAATAAAACAACAACAAAAAAAGTGTTGGGGAAAAAAAGAGCAGAAGTAAATGATATATGTAATAGTAATGAAGGATATGGGGGACATGTATGACAGCCAGACACTTATGAATTCTGTCCCGGTCCGGCCCTGCTATTCTATCGCAATTTGAAACATTTCAATGATCAGGAAAAAAAAGTTTCATGGCCACAGATTTCTCTGGCCCAGCCAATATTGGAATCCTGGTGCCGTTGCTGACAGAGAGCTGTAGTAAAAGGTGTGCAGTTATTTTTCTTAACGCAGCAAAACTAAAACCCAAACGGCACAAATTTAATTCTCAGAATTTGAGTCCCGGCCCGGTAGAAGACCGTCTGGCCCCATTGGGTTCGGGCTGAGAATGACAACTCTAGTGTGTGTGTGTGGAAGTGTTGGGAAGGAAGGGAAGGGAAGCCGGGTGTGGAACGGAAGCAGCAACAATGGCTGCCTGCCTCCAGGGCTCCAGGTCTGACCCTCACCGTCCCAGGGGACCATAGGAGGTCAGGGGCGGGACCGCAGTGACACACTGGCTGGGGTGGGGTGGGGAGCTCTTTCCGTCTATTGATATAACTTACAGCAGCCAGTCATACTGTGTATCCCAAATGGCCACCATATTCCCTACACAGTGCACTAGTTTTGACCAAAAGTAGTGCACTAAATAGGGAATAGGGTGGCATTTGGGACGTAAGCATCCAGTGCAGTCCTTCAGCCAGTCGTCTACGGGAGCAGCAGAGGCCCTGTGGCAGGAAGATCTTTCCCCTGGCAGGAAGAGACAGGAAGAGGACGGCACCACTCACAACCTGCTGTTCCTGCTCTGCTCACTAACTCTGTTCTCAGAGCTCAGAATAAGAGAGAGGGAGAGAGAGAGAGAGAAGAGAGAGAGAGAGATAGGGAGAGAGAGGAGCTGGCGCGCGGGAGGCAGCGCAGCGCGAGAGCGGAGAGAGCGAAGGGAGCGGCGCGACGAGGGCAGCAGAGGGCAGCAGGCGAGAGAGCGCCGAGAGAGGGACGAGAGCGAGCGGAGGCGCAGAGGGACGAGCCAGCAGCGCAGGAAGGAGAGGAGAGAGAGAGAAGAGCGCAGAGGACAGAGGGGAGAGCGAGGAGAAACGAGTGGAGAGAGAGCGAGGCAGAGAAAGAGAGCAAGGGGACGCGGAAAGGGTCGCGAGAGAGAGAGAGCCACACGAGACGGGAAAGGCAGGGAGAGAGAGGCGCGAGAGAGAGAGAGAGCGAGAGAGAGGAGAGAGAGAGAAGAAGGAAGAGAGAAGGAGAGCAAGGAAGAGGAGGAGAGAGAGACAGAGCGAGAGAGACAAGCGAGAGAGAAGAGAGAGGCGGCGAGCGAGAGGCAGAGAGAGAGACGAGACAACGGGAACGAAGAAAGAGAGAGATTCAGGTCATCCTGCTGATATCCTCTCTCTATCACACGGTCTCTCTGTCTTCTCTTGATCCTGCTCCCTTCTCTCTCCCTCTCGTCTACTCTCTCTCTCTATTCGCTCTTATGCTCTATTCGCACAATCTCTCTAGTACCGGGTCAGTAGAGGTGGAGGAGTCCAGAGGAATGCACATCGTGAGGAGGCTGTGAAGCGTCTCAAGACGGTAGGTAGACCTCTAATGTCTGTCTCACTACGTAGTCTACTGACCAGGACAGTCTGTCTCAACTACGTAGTCTATGACGGACAGTCATGTCTCACTACGTAGTCTACTGACTGGACAGTCTGTCTCACTACGTAGTCTACTGACTGGACAGTCTGTCCCAATACGTAGTCTACTGACTGGACAGTCGTCTCACTACGTAGTTACTGACTGGACGTCTGTCTCACTACGTAGTACTACTGACCGGACAGTCTGTCTCATAGTAGTCTACTGACCGGACAGTCTCTCACTACGTAGTCTATGACCGGACAGTCCTGTCTCACTACGTTAGTCTACTGACTGGACAGTCTGTCTCACTACGAGTCTACTGACTGGACAGTCTGTCTCATATAGTCTACTGACCCGGACAGTCTGTCTCACTACGTAGTCTACTGGACCGGACAGTCTCTCCACTACGTAGTCTACTGACCGGACAGTCTGTCTCACTACGTAGTCTACTGACTGGACAGTCTGTTCTCATACGTAGTCTACTGACTGGACAGTCTGTCCCACTACGTAGTCTACTGACTGGACAGTTCTGTCTCACTACGTAGTCTACTGGACTGGACAGTCTGTCTCACTACGTCAGTCTACTGACCGGACAGTCTGTCTCACTACGTAGTCTACTGACCGGACAGTCTCTCACTACGTAGTCTACTGACCCGGACAGTCTCTCACTACGTAGTCTACTGACTGGACAGTCTGTCTCACTACGTAGTCTACTGACCGGACAGTCTGTCTCACTACGTAGTCTAATGACTGGACAGTCTGTCCCACTACGTAGTCTACTGACCGGACAGTCTCTCACTACGTAGTCTACTGACCGGACAGTCTGTCTCACTACGTAGTCTACTGACTGGACAGTCTGTCTCACTACGTAGTCTACTGACTGGACAGTCTGTCCCACTACGTAGTCTACTGACTGGACAGTCTGTCTCACTACGTAGTCTACTGACTGGACAGTCTGTCTCACTACGTAGTCTACTGACCGGACAGTCTGTCTCACTACGTAGTCTACTGACCGGACAGTCTCTCACTACGTAGTCTACTGACCGGACAGTCTCTCACTACGTAGTCTACTGACTGGACAGTCTGTCTCACTACGTAGTCTACTGACTGGACAGTCTGTCTCACTACGTAGTCTACTGACCGGACAGTCTGTCTCACTACGTAGTCTACTGACTGGACAGTCTGTCCCACTACGTAGTCTACTGACCGGACAGTCTGTCTCACTACGTAGTCTACTGACTGGACAGTCTGTCTCACTAATCCCCCTCTACAGAGCAAGGACCCCCCCCCCTCTTTCCCCTCCTCCCTCTCTACTCCGGTCTGTCCATTTTCCCCATCTAACAGTTTCCTCGATCACCGCTAGTTTTCCTCATCTCTCATCATGTGGCGTGACGTACTTGGTTTCCCGTAGACCCGGTCTGACGCCTGGCTCTGAATGTACACAGGAGCCCTTTTTGTCATTTTAAACACTGCACTGTTGTACCCGTCAGTCTGACTGTAGAGGTCTGAGGGCCTGGGCTTCCAGACCCTCCATCAGTCTGTCTGTAGAGGTCTGAGGGCCTGGGCTTCCAGACCCTCCATCAGTCTGTCTGTAGAGGTCTGAGGGCCTGGGCTTCCAGACCCTCCATCAGTCTGTCTGTAGAGGTCTGAGGGCCTGGGCTTCCAGACCCTCCATCAGTCTGTCTGTAGAGGTCTGAGGGCCTGGGCTTCCAGACCCTCCCTCAGTCTGTCTGTAGAGGTCTGAGGGCCTGGGCTTCCAGACCCTCCATCAGTCTGTCTGTAGAGGTCTGAGGGCCTGGGCTTCCAGACCCTCCATCAGTCTGTCTGTAGAGGTCTGAGGGCCTGGGCTTCCAGACCCTCCATCAGTCTGTCAGTCTGTTGTCTGTCAAGCCCACCCAGCTCACTGAGCACAGGGCAGACAGACAGCTCCGGGTAGACGGAGGAGTTACGTCAGAGCAACATTCTGTACCACTTTATTTGGATATTCCATCTGTAGACTATCAGTAACATTTCCAACTAACTATACAGAACAACAATATAAATTCAACATGCAACAATTTCAAAGATTTGACTGAGTTACAGTTCATAGAAGGAAATCAGTCAATTTAAATAAATTCATTAGGCCCTAATCTATGGATTCCACATGACTGGGAATACAGATGTACATCTGTTGGTCACAGATACCTTTAAAAAAATAAAAAGGTAGGGGCGTGGATCAGAAAACCAGTCAGTATCTGGTGTGACCACCATTTGCCTCATGCAGCACGACACATCTCCTTCGCATAGAGTTGATCAGGCTGTTGATTGTGGAATGTTGTCCCACTCCTCTTCAATGGCTGAGTGAAGTTGCTGGATATTGGCGGGAACTGGAACATGCTGTCGTACACATTGATCCAGAGCATCCCAAACATGCTCAATGGGTGACATGTCTGGTGAGTATGCAGGCCGTGGAAGTTGAGACATTTTCAGCTTCCAGGAATTGTGTACAGATCCTCGCGACATGGGGCCGTGCGTTATCATGCTGAATCAGGAGGTGATGGCGGCGGATGAATGGCACGACAATGGGCCTCAGGATCTCGTTACGGTATCTCTGTGCATTCAAATTGCCATCGATAAAATGCAATTGTGTTCATTGTCCATAGCTTATGACTGCCCATACCATAACCCCACTGCCAACATGGGGCACTGTTCACAACGTTGACATCAGCAAACCACTCGCCCACACGATGCCGTACACTTAGTCTGCGGTTGTGAGGCCGGTTGGATGTACTGCCAAATTCTCTAAAACGACTGTTGGTAGAGAATTGAACATTTTTAAATTATCTGTCAACAGCTCTGGTGGACATTCCTTCATTGTGTTACAAAACTGCACATTTTAAAGTTGCATTTTATTGTCCCCAGCTTACTCAGTACTTTGTTGAAGCACCATTGGCAGCGATTACAGCCTCAAGTCTTCTTGGGTATGAAGCTACAAGCCTTGCACACCTGTATTTGGGGAGTTTCTCCCATTCTTCTCTGCAGATCCTCTCAAGCTCTGTCAGGTTGGATGGGGAGCGTCGCTGCACAGCTATTTTCAGGACTCTCCAGAGATGTTCGATCGGGTTCAAGTCCGGGCTCTGGCTGGGCCACTCAAGGACATTGAGACTTGTCCCGAAGCCACTCCTGCGTTGTCTTGGCTATGTGCTTGGGTTGTTGTCCTGTTGGAAGGTGAACCTTCGCTTCAGTCTGAGGTCCTGAGCGCTCTGGAGCAGGTTTTCATCAAGGATCTCTATGTACTTTGCTCCGTTCATCTTTCCCTCGATCCTGACTAGTCTCCCAGTCCCTGCCGCTGAAAAACATCCCCACAGCATGATGCTGCCACCACCATGCTTCACCGTAGGGATGGTGCCAGGTTTCCTCCAGACGTGACGCTTGGCATTCAGGCCAAAGAGTTGATTCTTGGTTTCATCAAACCAGAGAATCTTGTTTCTCATGGTCTGAGAGTCCTTTAGGTGCCTTTTGGCAAACTCCAAGCGGGCTGTCATGTGCCTTTTACTGAGGATTGGCTTCCGTCTGACCACTCTATCATAAAGGCCTGATTGGTGGACTGCTGCAGAGATGGTTGTCCTTCTGGTAGGTTCTCCGATCTCCACAGAGGAACTCTGGAGCTCTGTCAGAGTGACCATCAGGTTCTTGGTCACCTCCCTGACCAAGGCCCTTCTCTCTCAATTGCTCAGTTTGGCCGGGCGGCCAGCTCTAGGAAGAGTCTTGGTGGTTCCAAACTTCTTCTATTTAAGAATGATGGAGGCCACTGTGTTCTTGGGGACCTTCAATGCTGCAGACATTTTTTGGTATCCTTTCCCAGATCTGTGCCTCGACACAATCCTGTCTTGGAGCTCTACGGACAATTCCTTCGACCTCATGGCTTGGTTTTTGCTCTGACATGCATTGTCAACTGTGGGACCTTTTATAGACAGGTGTGTGCCTTTCCAAATCATGTCCATTCAATTGAATCTGCCACAGGTTGACTCCAATCAAGTAGTAGAAACATCTCGAGGAGGATCAATGGAAACAGGATGCACCTGAACTACATTTTGAGTCTCATAGCATAGGGTCTGAATAAATCTAAATCTAAATAAGGTATTTCTGTTTTTTATTTTTAATACATTTGCAAAAATGTTTAAAAACCTGTTTTCGCTTTTGTCGTTATGGGGTGTTGTGTGTAGATTGATCAGGGAAAATTTATTGAATCCATTTTAGAATAAGGCTGTAACGTAACACAATGTGGAAAAAGCGAAGGGGTCTGAATACTTTCCGAAGGCACTACTACACAAACATGCAGTAGGAAAGACTGTCATAATTAGGAATGTAAGAACGATAAACGGATGTTAAACAGGTGCATGCTGCTCTAACAATGGCTGCCGTAGTATAACATGCAAACACTTGGATATTTCCACAGCGGGAATAATACCTATTGCCAGAAGGAGAGAGAACTGAGCCTATTGAGTATGTGTGGCCCTCTCTGGCCTGGTACAGATGTTATGAGGCAGGAGCATATTATGAGGCAGGAGCATATTATGAGGCAGGAGCATATTATGAGGCAGGAGCATATTATGAGGCAGGAGCATATTATGAGGCAGGAGCATATTATGAGGCAGGAGCATATTATGAGGCAGGAGCATGTTATGAGGCAGGAGCATTAGGAAGGCATTGCAGCGGTAGCATGTGAACAATATGAACATTGCTAATTCACATATATTGAGTAGGCTAGTAGCACTCAGTTAACACACAGAATTGCAGAGACTTTGATATTTTACCGACCGCAATTAATATGGTGAAGACAATGTGTGGGGAGGCAGAGGTACAGAAACTCCCATTAATACCTTTGTCAGATAACACTGTTCAATGAAGAATTGATGCTATTGCTAGCAATCAAGAGGAAACTGATTGAACGACTCAAAAACTCCCAAGCTTATGCTCTCCTGTAGGTTTACATCTATCTAGTCCAGGGCTCTCCAACCCTGTTCCTGGAGAGATACCCTCCTGTAGGTTTACATCTATCTAGTCCAGGGCTCTCCAACCCTGTTCCTGGAGAGATACCCTCCTGTAGGTTTACATATATCTAGTCCAGGGCTCTCCAACCCTGTTCCTGGAGAGATCGGAGAGAACCCTCCTGTAGGTTTACATCTATCTAGTCCGGGCTCTCCAACCCTGTTCCTGGAGAGATACCTCCTGTAGGTTTACATCTACTAGTCCAGGCTCTCCAACCCTGTTCATGAGAGCTACCCTTTTAGGTTAACATTCTATAAGTGCCAGGGATCTCCAACCCTGTTCCTGGAGCCCATACCCTCCTGTAGGTTTAGACATCCTATCTAGTCCAGGGCTCTCCAACCCTGTTCCTGAGGCTACCCTCCTGAGGTTTACATCTTTCTAGTCCAGGAGCTCCCAACCCTGTCCTCGAGAGATCCCTCTGTAGGTTTACTCCATCTGTCCAGGCTCTCCAACCCTGTGTCCTGGCCGTCCTCCTGTGCGTTTCTAGATCCCTCCAGGGCTCTCCAACCCTGTTCCTGAGAGATACCCTCCTGTAGGTTTACTTATAGAGCCAGCTCCCAACCCTTTTCCTGGAGCCTACCCTTCTGTAGGTTACATCTATCTAGTCCAGTGCTCCCAACCCGGTCCGAGGCTACCTCTGGAGGGTTTACATCTATCTAGGCCAGGTCTCTTCAACCATGTCCTGGGGAGGAACCTCCTGTAGTTAGGTTTGAGGTTTCCAACCTAATACAGCAAACTATTAATAACTATTTGATCAATAATGGAGAGAACTAGGCTTGCCGTTAGGAGACCCTCCCCTTCCGCTCTCTAGGAGCCCTCCCGTTCCTCCTGTCTAGGAGCCCTCCCTTACCGCTCTGTCAGGAGCCCCTCTGCCTTCCTGCTTGTACTAGGACCCTCCCCGTCCGCTTGTCTAGGCCCCTACCCTCGCTTGGTTAGGACGCCCTCCCGCCCGCTTTGTCTAGGAGCCCTCCCCGTACTGCTTTGTCTAGGACCCCCCCTTCCGCTTAGTACTAGGAGCCCCTCCCTTCTGCTTTGTCTAGGAGCCCTCCCGCCTGCTTTGTCTAGGAGCCCCTCCCCGTCCTGCTTTGTCTAGGAGCCCCTCCCCGCCCTGCTTTGTCTAGGAGCCCCTCTCCTTCCTGCTCTGTCTAGGAGCCCCTCCCCTTCCTGCTTTGTCTAGGAGCCCCTCCCCGCCCTGCTCTGTCTAGGAGCCCCTCCCCATCCTGCTCTGTCTAGGAGCCCCTCCCCGTCCTTCTCTGGCCTGCTCTGTCTAGGAGCCCCTCCCCTTCCTGCTCTATGATTCACACTAGAGCTTTGCTACCCGACCCGAGTCCGACGGGTCTCGACATCGGGTTAGGACCGGGTAGGGCCTGTTTTCTCATCAATAACTAGGGTACGGGTAGGGCTCGGGTATCACTAAATTGATCACTAACATTTTTATAGCTGAGCCTTTTGGTGACCCCACAGTAGTCTGTCTCTGGCTGTTACCATGAGGAGACGCCTGTTTCACCGCTCCACAGTAGTCTGTCTCTGGCTGTTACCATGAGGAGACGCCTGTTTCACCGCTCCACAGTAGTCTGTCTCTGGCTGTTACATGAGGAGACGCCTGTTTCAACCGCTCCACAGTAGTCTGTCTCTGGCTGTTACCATGAGGAGACGCCTGTTTTCACCGCTCCACAGTAGTCTGTCTCTGGCTGTTACCATGAGGAGACGCTGTTTCACCGCTCCTACAGTCTGTCTCTGGCTGTTACCATGAGGAGACGCCTGTTTCACCGCTCCACAGTAGTCTGTCTTGGCTGTTACCATGAGAGACGCCTGTTTTCACGCTCCACAGTAGTCTGTCTCTGGCTGTTACCATGAGGAGACGCCTGTTTCACCGCTCCATACAGTCTGTCTCTGGCTGTTACCATGAGGAGACGCCTGTTTCACCGCTCCACAGTAGTCTGTCTCTGGCTGTTACCATGAGGAGACGCCTGTTTCACCGCTCCACAGTAGTCTGTCTCTGGCTGTTACCATGAGGAGACGCCTGTTTCACCGCTCCATACAGTCTGTAACAGACAGACACACACACAATGGTGTCTGAGTGTCGAAACACAAACAATACCCACATAATACCAACAAAAAGGGGGGTAAGGCCAAATCACATGTTCCTTGAGAATTCCTTGAAGGTATAAACATTAGGACTATTTATTTAACTACAGCCACACACACACAAATGCACAGCATATGTTTTACTATCCTTGTGGGGACCAAAAATTGATTTCCATTCAAAATCCTATTTTCTCTAACCTTAAACCTAACCCCTAATTCTAACCCTAACTCGAATTGTAACCGTAACCCTAAGCCTAAAATAGCCTTTCTCGTCGTGAGGGACCTGGGAAATGTCCCCACGAGGGATAATTTTCCTTGTTTTACTATCCTTGTGGGGACTTATGGGGATTTGGGGGATTTCCGGTACCCACGAGGAAGCACACACACACAGTTTCCCAGCATGTACATGTCCACATATGGTTTCCTCACACAAATTCAAGCCCGGTCCAACCCAAGCCCGGTGAGCTGAAGCCCGAGCCCGGTCCGACATCTCAGAAATGTAATGAACCCGAAAAAAAATCCAGATTTCTAGAAAACAGTATATTGATTTAAACTGGTGTTGAGAAAAATGCGGCAGTGCAGTGAGGAGACGAGGAAAACTGCTCTTGTCTTAGAAAAGTGAGGAGAGAGGAAACTGCCCTTGGTTATGATCAACTGAATGAGGAACATTCTGGAATAAAGTAGGCTAATGCAATTGAAGGCAGGTATCAAATTGTTGCTTATATTGAGAGCTCCTACACCTGGCTAGAGAGCTCCTACACCTGGCTAGAGAGCTCCGACACCTGGCTAGAGAGCTCCGACACCTGGCTAGAGAGCTCCGACACCTGGCTAGAGAGCTCCGACAACCTGGTCTAGAGAGCTCCTACACCTGGCTAGAGGCTCCTACACCTGGCTAGAGAGCTCCGACACCTGGCTAAGCTCCGACACCTGGCTAGAGAGCTCCGACAACCTGGCTAGAGAGCTCCTAACCTGGCTAGAGAGCTCCGACACCTGGCTAGAGAGCTCCTACAACCTGGCTTAGAGAGCTCCGACACCTGGTCTAGAGAGCTCCGACACCTGGCTAGAGAGCTCCGACACCTGGCTAGAGAGCTCCGACACTGGCTAGAGAGCTCCGACACCTGGCTAGAGAGCTCCGACACCTGGCTAGAGAGCTCCTACACCTGGCTAGAGAGCTCCGACACCTGGCTAGAGAGCTCCTACACCTGGCTAGAGAGCTCAGACACCTGGCTAGAGAGCTCCGACACCTGGCTAGAGAGCTCCGACACCTGGCTAGAGAGCTCCTACACCTGGCTAGAGAGCTCCGACACCTGGCTAAGCTCCGACACCTGGCTAGAGAGCTCAGACAGTGGGCCATTTTAATTTAGACAGGACTGTATGGATTGAGACAATGCTTGTCCCTGAGTGGATGGGAGAGCAGTGGAATGGTACTCATTAAGGTACACTACTGTGTCAATGTCTGGTGGAGTGCTGTGGCTGGCTAGAGAGTGTTGTGACTGGTATAGGCTGGGAAGGTGTAGGCTGGGAAGATAATGCTATGACTGGTGTAAGCTGGGAAGGTGTAGGCTGGGAAGGTGTAGGCTGGGAAGGTGTAGACTGGGAAGGTATAGGCTGGGAAGGTGTAGGCTGGGAAGGTGTAGACTGGGAAGGTGTAGACTGGGAAGGTATAGGCTGGGAAGGTATAGGCTGGGAAGGTGTAGGCTGGGAAGGTGTAGGCTGGGAAGGTGTAGGCTGGGAAGATAATGCTATGACTGGTGTAGGCTGGGAAGATAATGCTATGACTGGTGTAGGCTGGGAAGATGACGTGATTTCTGAAGCGCTACAGTTCTATTAGAGCCAGCTGTCACAACGTCAACTCTCCACTGTCCTCAGACAGCTAGTAACGTAACTCTCCACAGTCCTCAGACAGCTAGTAACGTAACTCTCCACTGTCCTCAGACAGCTAGTAACGTAACTCTCCACTGTCCTCAGACAGCTAGTAACGTAACTCTCCACTCTCCTCAGACAGCTAGTAACGTCAACTCTCCACTGTCCTCAGACAGCTAGTAACATAACTCTCCACTGTCCTCAGACAGCTAGTAACGTAACTCTCCACTCTCCTCAGACAGCTAGTAACGTAACTCTCCACTGTCCTCAGACAGCTAGTAAGGTAACTCTCCTCTCTCCTCAGACAGCTAGTAACGTAACTCTCCACTGTCCTCAGACAGCTAGTAACGTAACTCTCCACTGTCCTCAGACAGCTAGTAACGTAACTCTCCACTCTCCTCAGACAGCTAGTAACGTAACTCTCCACTGTCCTCAGACGGCTAGTAAGGTAACTCTCCACTCTCCTCAGACAGCTAGTAACGTAACTCTCCACTCTCCTCAGACAGCTAGTAACTCTCCACTCTCCTCAGACAGCTAGTAACGTCAACTCTCCACTGTCCTCAGACAGCTTGTAACGTCAACTCTCCACTGTCCTCAGACAGCTAGTAACTCTCCACTCTCCTCAGACGGCTAGTAACTCTCCACTCTCCTCAGACAGCTAGTAACATCAACTCTCCACTGTCCTCAGACAGCTAGTAACGTCAACTCTCCACTGTCCTCAGACAGCTAGTAACGTAACTCTCCACTGTCCTCAGACAGCTAGTAACGTCAACTCTCCACTGTCCTCAGACAGCTAGTAAACGTAACTCTCCACTGTCCTCAGACAGCTAGTAACGTCAACTCTCCACTGTCCTCAGACAGCTAGTAACGTAACTCTCCACTGTCCTCAGACAGCTAGTAACGTCAACTCTCCACTGTCCTCAGACAGCTAGTAACGTAACTCTCCCACTGTCCCTCAGACAGCTAGTAACGTAACTCTCCACTGTCCTCAGACAGCTAGTAACGTAACTCTCCACTGTCCTCAGACAGCTAGTAACGTAACTCTCCACTGTCCTCAGACAGCTAGTAACGTAACTCTCCACTGTCCTCAGACAGCTAGTAACGTAACTCTCCACTGTCCTCAGACAGATAGTAACGTAACTCTCCACTGTCCTCAGACAGCTAGTAACGTAACTCTCCACTGTCCTCAGACAGCTAGTAACGTAACTCTCCACTGTCCTCAGACAGCTAGTAACGTAACTCTCCACTGTCCTCAGACAGCTAGGCTAGTGCTGTGCTGACAGTGAATACACTTTCTCTTTATATTAATATACACTGAGTGTACAAAACATTAAGAACACCTTCCTAATATTGAGTTGCAACCCCCCCACCCCCCCTCCCTCCCCCTTTTGCCGTCAGAACAGCTTCAATTCATCGGGGCATGGGACTCTACAACGTGTCAAAAGCGTTCCACAGGGATGCTGGTCCATGTTGACTCCAATGCTTCCCACAGTTGTGTCAAGTTGGCTGGATGTCCTTTGGGTGGTGGATCATTCTTGATACAAACGGGAAACTGTTGAGCGTGAAAAACCCAGCAGCGTTGCAATTCTTGACACAAACCAGTGTGCCTGGCACCTACTACCATACCCTGTTCAAAGGTACTTATATATTTTGTCTTGCCCATTCACCCTCTGAATGGCACACGCACAATCCATGTCTCAATTGTCTCAAGGCTTAAAAATCCTTCTTTAACGCGTCTCCTCCCATTCGTCTACACTGATTGAAGTGAATTTAATAAGTGACATCAATACGGGATCATATCCTTCACCTGGATTCACCTGGTCAGTCTGTTGTGGAAAGAGCAGCTGTTCTTAATGTTTTGTCCACTCAGTGTATACTAATGTATGAAGACTAGGAGCGATAGTGTGTGTACAGTGCATTTGGAAAGTATTCAGACCCCTTGACCTTTTCCACATTTTGTTACGTTACAGCCTTATTCTAAAATGGATTAGTTATTTTCCCCTCATCAATCTACACACAATACCCCATAATGACAAAGCAAGAACAGGTTTAATAAAAAACGGAAATATCACATTTACGTAAGTATTCAGAACCTTTACTCAGTACTTTGTTGAAGCACCTTTGGCAGCGATTACAGCCTCGAGTCTTCTTGGGTATGACGCTACAAGCTTGGCACACCTGTATTTGGGGAGTTCCTCCCATTCTTATCTGCAGATCCTCTCAAGCTCTGTCAGGTTGGATGGGGAGCATCGCTGCACAGCTATTTTCAGGTCTCTCCAGGCCAGGCACGACTCCAACACCATCATTAACTTTGCCGATGACACAACAGTGGTAGGCCTGATCACCGACAACGACGAGACAGCCTATAGGGAAGAGGTCAGAGACCTGGCCGTGTGGTGCCAGGACAACAACCTCTCCCTCAACGTGATCAAGACAAAGGAGATGATTGTGGACTACAGGAAAAAGAAGAGGACTGAGCACGCCCCCATTCTCATCGAAGGGGCTGTAATGGAACAGGTTGAGAGCTTCAAGTTCCTTGGTGTCCACATCACCAACAAACTAACATGGACCAAGCACATCAAGACAGTCGTGAAGAGGGCACGACAAAACCTATTCCCCCTCAGGAGACTGAAAAGATTTGGCATGGGTCCTCAGATCCTCAAAAAGTTCTACAGCTGCACCATCGAGAGCATCCTGACTGGTTGCATCACTGCCTGGTATGGCAACTGCTCGGCCTCAGACCGCAAGGTCCTACAGAGGGTAGTGCGTACGGCCCAGTACACCACTGGGGCCAAGCTTTCTGCCATCCAGGAACTCTATACCAGGCGGTGTCAGAGGAGGGCCCTAAAAATAGTGAAAGACTCCAGCCACCCTAGTCATAGACTGTTCTCTCTGCTACCGCACGGCAAGCGGTACCGGAGCGCCAAGTCTAGGTCCAAAAGGCTTCTAAACAGCTTCTACCCCCAAGCCATAAGACTCCTGAACATCTAATCAAATGGCTACCCGGAATATTTGCACTGATGCTACTCTCTTATTATCCATGCATAGTCACTTTAATAAATGTACATATTACCTCGACTAACCGGTGCCCCCGCACATTGACTTTGTACCGGTACCCCCTGTATATAGCCTCCCTACTGTTATTACACATTGACTCTGTACCGGTACCCCCCTGTATATAGCCTCCCTACTGTTATTTCACATTGACTCTGTACCGGTACCCCCCCTGTATATAGCCTCCCTACTGTTATTTCCCATTGACTCTGTACCGGTACCCCCTGTATATAGCCTCCATACTGTTATTTTCCCATTGACTCTGTTACCGTACCCCCTGTATATAGCCTCCCTACTGTTATTTCCCATTGACTCTGTACCGGTACCCCCTGTATATAGCCTCCCTACTGTTATTTCCCATTGACTCTGTACCGGTACCCCCCTGTATATAGCCTCCCTACTGTTATTTCACTGCTGCTCTTAATTATTTGTTACTTTGATTAATTATTTTCTTTATTATTTATTTTATGTATTTTTTATTGGTATTCTTTCTTAAAACTGCATTGTTGGTTAAGGGCTTGTAAGTAAGCTTTTCACTGTAAGGTCTACACCTGTTGTATTCGGCGCATGTGACAAATAAAATGTGATTTGATTTGAGTACCTCTCTTCAAAATGTTCAAGCATGGTGGATAACAGAATGGAGCTAAGCACAGGCAAAATCCCAGAGGAAAACCTGGTTCAGTCTGCTGTCCACCAGACACTGGGAGATGAATTCACGTTTCAGCAGGACAATAACCTAAAACACAAGTTAACCAAGACCACATTAAATGTTCCTGAGTGGTCGAGTTACAGTTTTGACTTAAATCGGCTTGAAAATCTATGGCAAGAGACTTGAAAGTGGCTGTCTAGCAATGATCAACAACCACCTTGACGGAGCTTGAAGAGTTTAAAAAAATAATAATGTGTAAATATTGACAATCCAGGTGTGCAAAGCTCTTAGAGACTTACCCAGAAAGACTCACAGCTGTAATCGCTGCCAAAGGTGATTCTAGCATGTATTGACTCAGATTACTTTCCAATAAATTTGCCAAAATGTGTAAAAGCATGTTTTTATTTTGTCATTAATGGGGTATTGTGTGTAAATGGGTGAGAAAACAAATCAATTTAATCCATTTTGAATTCAGGCTGTAACACAAAATGTGGATTAATTCAAAGGGTATGAATACTCTCTGAAGGCACTGTACCAGCATACAGGACTAAAGGATTCATCAGATGTTTTGGGCTGACCAGTTGGTAGTTAGCTGACCAGTTGGTAGTTAGCTGACCAGTTGGTAGTTAGCTGACCAGTTGGTAGTTAGCTGAAAAGCTGACCGGGTAGGTGAATTGTTTAGCGACCAAATTGTATTTGCTGACCAGTTTTTAGTCTGACCGGTTTCTCCTTGGTAGTTAGTCCTGGGTTCCCAGTGGTAGTTAGCGACCAGTGTATTGGCTGACCAGTTGTAGTTAGCTGACCAGTTGGTAGTTAGTGCCAGTGTTTTGCTGCCGTTGGTGTTAAGCTAGTCTAGCTGACCAAGTGTAGAAATGAACCGGGTGGCCCTCCATTTACTTCTCCTTTGGCTGCCTTTTAGCCCCATTTCGCAAAAGGGAGAGCGCCAGGGGGCCCCGCCCAGGAGCAAAAGGAAGATGCCCAAAGTGCTGACCAGGAGGCTGCCCTTCTGTACTCTGGTGTTCAGCAGTTAGTTTTAGCGTTTCCACGTGTCAAATGGGAACCGGCCCCCACCTTCTTCCACCCCGATCCCCCCCCCCCCCAACCCCCCAAAACCCCCCCACCCCAAACCCCCGAAAACCCCCTTTTTAACCCCGGGGAAAAAAGGTTTTTAAATAAAAACGGACCCCCCGGAAAAAGGGAAAAAAAACCAACCCCCCCAAAAACCAACCCCTAAAAAAAAAGGGGAGGGACCCCGCCGCCAAACCCAAAACCCCCCCAAACCATCTCTCCCCTCCCTCTCTTCCCAAAACCCCACCCCATTTCCCCACCCCCCCACTCTCCCTTCCCAAACCCTTTTCCTTCCTCCCTCACCCTTTTTCCCCTTATTTTTCTTTTTTCTTCTTTTTTTTCTTTTTGTTCCCACCCCCTTTCCCTCCCCTCCTCTCTCCCTCCCCCAAAACCCTTTCCCCCCCCCTCTTCCTCCCCCCAACCCTTTCCCTCCCTTTTTCTATTTCACTCCATAAAACTTTCCTCCTCACTTTTAAATAGTGAAATTTTAATTAGCCAATTGTTTTTTAAAGGGTAAACCCCAACCCTGTGCCCCTTTCCCTCCATCTAGTCTCCCTCCATCCAACCCTGTGCCCTCCCTCCATCTAGTCTCCCTCCATCCCAACCTGGTCCCCTCCCTCCATCTAGTCTCCCTCCATCCCAACCCGTGTCCCCTCCCCCATCTAGTCTCCCTCCATCCCAACCCGTGTCCCCTCCTCCATCTAGTCTCCCTCCACCAACCCGTTTTCCCCTCCTCCATCTAGTCTCCTCCACCCAACCTGGGTCCCTCTCCTCCACTAGTCTCTCCATCCCAAACCCTGTGTCCCCTCCTCATCTATAGTTCCTCATCCCAACCGTGTCCCCTCCCTCCATCTTAGTCTTCGATCCACCCAACCCTGTGTCCCCTCCCTCCATCTAGTCTCCCTCCATCCCAACCTGTGTCCCCTCCCTCCATCTAGTCTCCCCTCCATCCCAACCCTGTGTCCCCCTCCTCTCCTCTAGTCTCCCTCCATCCCAACCCTGTGTCCCCTCCCTCACATTAGTCTCCACTCCCCTCAACCCTGTGTCCACCTCCCTCCATCTGTCTCCCTCCATCCAACCCTGTGTCCCTCCCTCCATCTAGTCTCTCCTCCTCCCAACCCTGTGTCCCTCCCTACATCTAGTTCCCTCCATCCCAACCTGTGTTCCCCTCCCTCCATCTAGTCTCCCTCCATCCCACCCTGTGTCCCCTCCCTCCATCTAGTCTCCCTCCATCCCAACCCTGTGTCCCCTCCCTCCATCTAGTCTCCCTCCATCCCAACCCTGTGTCCCCTCCCTCCATCTAGTCTCCCTCCATCCCAACCCTGTGTCCCCTCCCTCAGCTCTAGTCTCCCCCATCCCAACCCTGTGTCCCCTCCCTCCATCTAGTCTCCCTCCATCCCAACCCTGTGTCCCCTCCCTCCATCTAGTCTCCCTCCATCCCAACCCTGTGTCCCCTCCTCCATCTAGTCTCCCTCCATCCCAACCCTGTGTCCCCCTCCCTCCATC